AATAATAGATCTAGATAATAGTATACATTCTCAGATGTTATTGAATAATAATTTGACAATGTGTGTTTTGCGTGTCATAAATGACAGTAATGAGGATTAATGCCCCACAAAAGGGCACTAAATAGCACATCGACACGGTTTTGATCATGGGGCCTCACAGTCAAGAGGCCATTGCTTTGTCACTGAACCATGACTGTATGCAGCGGGGGCTAGGGTAGGGGGCAGTATCCATAAATATAAAAACACCACAGAAAATGCAATAAATTTTCAATAATTTATTGCATTTTACCCCGGTTCCCAACATTAAAAAAATCCTATGTGTGCCCATGCCTTGAGCCATAATGCATGGCCGTCCAGAGGATTTTTTTATGTTGGGGACCAAAAAACCAAGTCCGGAAGAAACTCCGTTAGCTCTCAGCAGTCAGCAGACGATGTAGTGCGATGACACCATCTTTGACTAATCATAATCCTGTCTTTCACGGCGGTCGCAATGGAGTATTTTTTGACACTGTGCGATGTACATGGGGTGATACTTTGCTGGATCCTGACCGGTATACCAAACTAGAATATAAAATATGGTTATTTTTTCAAGTTAACACATCAAGTTATGTTTTGAACAAACAAAAAAATCGATGCAAGATGGTTTTCACTCGATTTACACCACTTATTTCCGCCATACATTTTTTATTTTTGGCACGACAAACTTTTCGTATTTATTACCCAAATTGCCTCGAAATATCATCAAAAAGATATGAAAAAGTACAAGTCCTATTTATTCCATTTCATTTGGTACCAACATGAGGCAAAACCGTTTTAAGGACGTTACATGACGATGACTTCAAATGAGTGATACACATGCTCATTACGTATTCATAACTATTCTGTTGTGTGCAGCTTTGTTTTTGTCTTGTTTTGTCCTGTTATGTCATGTCCTTTTGTGTGTCTTGTCCCATCCTGTCTTTTTTATCTTGTCCTGTTATGATTTGTTTTGTCATGTCTTATCTTTTTATGTAATTTTCCTGTCCTTTGTGTCCCCTTTTTTAAATTCTTTTCTTTTTGTATTTTTTGATTATTTAGGTACTTTAAAATGGTTTACAAAAATATGTTATTATATTATATTTATTTTACTGTGATTATGAAGACCCTTTGAAATGATTTATGATAATAAATTTCATATTATATGTATTCTTGGGAACCTACAAAAACAAGCTATGCTTTCCAGTAGGTTCCTGTTTCATTTCATAATTTTGATCTTACTTTGTCAACTATATTCTTTATTATAAGATGGGTAGAAGAATCCCTGCAATCTGATTGGTCAATTACCATGTAATTATTTTTACTTGATGTTTTTTTTTGCAGGTATATTTTTGTTTTCATAGGTTTTTATTCATTTCTCTCAAAGAAAAATTGTACATTTATAACATTGGATACAAAATAACAAAATAATTTAACATAGGTCTTTATAAATTTACCAATGATCTTTTACATTTACATACAAAAGTTACACCTCTTCATTTTCCTTTGGAGACAAAAAAATTATACATATATATAAAAAGAGAAAAAGCTACAAAACACCTACTACCCCCCCCCCCCCACCCCACACAACATTTAAACACATAACAAGTACAACAGTATACAAAACACACACTATTACTAACATAGAACGAACAAACAAAAGTAGAGGGGGGAAAAAAAAAAAAAAAAAAGAGAGAAGAGAGGAGGGTCAGAAAGTTGTATATTGAGAAAAAAAAAACTGAAAACATTTATTCTAAACTTTCCAAAGCTTCCCATTTCCTTAAATGAATTGAAAGTGTGTCTCTTTCCATTGAAAGTTTTTTCTCTTCATTTTTATTTTCCAACAATCTATATTCTATTTCTTTTGCTTTTGGAGGGTTTCCCTTCTCTCTACTGTGGAAAATCATATATTTAATCAAAATTAAAATGTGGTTCAATAATTGCTCTGTTTTAAAAGTAGTGTCATCTATTCCTATATGAATTTCTTTCCAGGATAATTTCTTCAGAATTGGTAAATTAAGTCTATCTCCACATTTCCCCCAGACTTCCTTTATTGTATTACATTCAAAGAATACATGTTGATAAGTTTCTTCAAAATTTTTGCAAAATGAGCAAAAACCATTTTCATGGAACCTGAATCTATGTAAATGATGATTTGTATATAAAATATTATGCAATAATTTGAACTGAAATTCTCGCAGTTTACTACTTAAGGTACACATCCTTGGTTGAACATATATCTTTTCTACTTCTTTTCTTGGAATATTGTAAAGTGTCATTAAATTGCCGCCTGCCGAGTTTGTTTCTACATTCTTTTTAATTTGACTCTTATATACCATTTTTGCAGTTAAATCTTTAAATGTAAACACTTTCTTTGAAAAAATAATTTCTAAACTAAAGCCAGTGTGAATTGCCTTTCTTAAAGGTTGAAAATTCTGTTTCCATTCATAAGGGCCTACTTTATAAATTTTGTTTACTTTATCAATTTCCACTCTGCTCAAACCTAACATTACAAAATGAGCTTCAGGTTTCAATTCTCCATTTTCTTCACAAATGTGATGAAGTCGATATATATTTTTTTAAAACAAAGTTTCCTCAAATAAGGTTTGACCTTCTAGTTGAATAGAATTATTATTATACAATATTTCATTCCCTTTGTATCTCTCTTCTGTTTTAACATATTCTTTCATATCTATCCATGCTTTCAGAAGATTCTGATAAAAGGAAGGTAACATAAGTTTCACTGTATCTCTCCAATAATTGTAATAAAATATTAAATTACGTCCTATCGGTCTCATTAAATATTTAAAGTATTGTTTCCATTTGATATCATGAGTTCCTGTTACAATCCTTTTTATCCACATTATTCTTTGTGCTTTTACAAACAACCTAAAATTCATCATTTTGAGCCCACCCTGCTGATAGTCTAACATCATTGTACTTCTTTTAATTTTATCTTTACCTCTCCACAAAAAATCAAAACATATTACTTCCATTTCTTTGTATACCCACTGTGGAACTGGCATTAGTGATGTTACATATGTCAATTTAGAGTATCCATATACATTCATCAATTGAATTTTACCCATTAGAGTTAGGTCACGCTGTTTCCACCACGTCAGTAGTTTTTTAATTTTGCTCAATATTTCCTTATAATTCATTTTTTCCTTGATATCTACATGAACTGAAAAATAAACACCTAATATTTTAACAGCATCTACACGTTTCCCAAACGGAAATGTATTATTAGACACCTGTGGGCCCAGGGGCAGAATATATGTCTTATCCTTGTTTAACTTTAATCCTGATATTTTATAAAAACCTTCTAAAACGTGTTCTATTTCCTTAAACTGAACTCATATCTTTGATGAAGAGTGTTATATCATCAGCATATAATACTTGCTTTATTTCTGTATTTCCAAAACAAATTCCTTTTACCAATTGATTATTTCTAATCATATGAGCTAAAATTTCAATGCATAAAATGAACAAGTATGGAGATAATGGGTCTCCTTGTCTAATTCCTCTTTCAACCTTAAAATAACCTGTTGATGCGTTTCCATTCATAACACAACTTTCAGTATTAGTATAAAGTATATTCACCCATTTACAAAACAATGGTCCAAACCCAAATGAATTTAAGACTTTGTTTAGAAAACAATGAGAAACAGAGTCGAATGCCTTTTCAAAATCTAAGGCCATCAAAAAAGCATTTTCCCTATAAAAAGAAGTATGAAAAATCATGTCATCTATTATTCTTATGGCTTCTCCAATGTTTCTATTCTTAACATAGCCAAGTTGATCAGAAGATACAATATCAGGTAAAATTTCTTGCAATCTCTTTGAAAGTATCTTTGTTAAAATTTTATAATCCACATTTAAAAGAGAAATCGGTCTGTAATTCTTAATAAAGTCTGAATCTTTATTTTTTTTATGTATCTGAGAGGCTGATAGTTCTCCATGATTAAAGGCTTCATTAAAAGATGCAAGGATTAGATCTCCAATTACCGGCCAAAATTTAAGATAAAACTCTACACTTAAGCCATCATTTCCTGGTGATTTATTTAATTTCATATTTTTTAATATTTCTATACATTCCCTTTCTACTATCTTTTCTTCACCTAAACCCCTTAAGGTCTCGTTCAATTTTGGCATGTTACTAGGGAAAAATTCTAAACCTCCATCTAGTACAACTTCTATTTTTTTATACAACTGACTGTAAAACTGTTTTATTCCCTCGACAATTTCTTTTTCCTTAGTAACAATCTTTCCGTTTACGTTTAATTTCTGTATTACACTTTTCTTTCTATTTGCTTCCATGAGCTGTTAAAAAAAATGCTGTATTCTTCTCTCCACATTCATACCAAGAGGCCCTTGATCGTATTTTTAAACCTTCATTATGCACGCGATATCGGCGATCGATACCACCGATATCCTTTTTTTTTTATTTATTTTTTATAATTTTTTTTTAATGAGTTTTTTGATAATTTTTGTTTTGGTGATAATTATTTGTTTTTCGTGTTTTTTGATAATTATAATCTGTTTAAAAAATTTAAATTTTTAAAAAAAAAGATTCTAATTTGTTTTGGGTTTTTTTTGTTTGAATTTCATGATAAGTTAAAAATCATGCGTCCGGTAATTACCGGACGCATGATTTTCCCATGCATCCGGTAAATCTGTAAAATAACAAAATTTTGTATTTTTGAGAATTTTTGGGGCCCCATCTTATAAAACAGATGATGCACAGGTTTAATTCGTGGGTCGGTGGAATTGTGTGCACGCGGTACCTTTAAAATTGGTCTAAAACTATTCAGAGGTACCTTGTGCACACAATCCCTACCGACGCACACTCAAACCTGTGCATCATTTGTATATTGTGCAAACAATTTTTATATGAAATGAATAAATAAATAAATAAATCAATCAATGTATACGGTCTACGCCTTCTGAGCGAGATCCGCACGCACTGCGGACTGACTGTCCATGCATCACTGCAGCTGCACTGCCTTCAGTTCTTCTTGTAACAGACATAATCATAGTTCTGTGAATTGAAGCGAAGTCTTTGACGTTATCATACTATTCGGACACACGTCTGGGCATACTACCAGGTGAGTGCCGGGGATTGTTTTCTCTACATTTATTTCTGTACCTAGTTACCTAGAATCTAGTTTGATTAACTTTAAATCTAGAGTCTAGTCCTAGTAATTTTATTTACAAGGTAGTAGACCTATACCTAGTAGTAGTTTATCAAGTATATGTGTACAGATTGCATTGAAATGTGAAATACACTTTACCTATGATAGTAATATAGGTGAGAACAATTTCATTCTGGAAAGCTTTAAAAAAAAGCTTGAGTAGATAATATAACAATGACATGCAGGAAAGGCTCAAGCTTACTTCCCCAAAAAGCGCTCTTAAACAAAAGGTTTTTCCTTTTTTACGTGCATACAATATGTACAGCTGGATAAAAAGCGCATATTTTCATGACTTGCATTTCTGTGAAGGCAGCACCAACCTACATGTTTACTTTATTATGTCAACAAAAAACACGATGCGCTTTTTTCAACTACCTACACTGTACACTGTATGAGTCAGCTTTAATTAACAAGGATGTGCACCAGCAGTTTTGAACCGACAGGTAACCTTGTTCTTATGCAGGGTCACCTATTGATACCATTGTTCAATTGTTGTGAGTGCTGTACCAGTCGGGAATTGGTTTTCAAGTTTTCCCTTTTTCATTTTTTTTTAATTATTATGACCATCTGGCCTGGTTACCAAGACAACATATGGTAGTAGCGCAATGATGTCATAATCAAACAATGAATAGCGATTGTATACGTTGCTACATGTATAAATATTAAAAACATGAAATATACATACAGTGAATATGGCATATATATGCTGCTCTTGTTAAAAATAATAAATTTATATAATTCAATAAATAAAATGACAATATTCATGTCTACACTCTTCAAAAGTCTTTATCCAGAAAAAAGTCACATGAGACATGAATTTGTGGATTTCAGACTCTGTAAATAAGCTGAAATGAAACTTACATTACAAGTTGAAAATCAATGTATATTACAGTCCTCCTTTAAAATGTTGGTCATTATTGATAATGTTTATACGAGTCTGTTTAATATAATCAGTGCTAGGCCATTATTACATTGTACTCTGACAGCTAAAGCCGGGGTAATATAATCTCCAAGTTTGGAAGCGCTTAGTGATTCTAATAAGCGCTATATAAAAACTGAGTATTATTATTATTATTATAATGTTCTTAATGTCAACAAAATTTATGTCGAGTCTGTGACACACCCTACGCTTATATTTTTCAGTCTTGAATAACATTTCTTTTAAGTCAAACTTTCGATGAACTTGTACTTAAATGATAAGAATGTCTTGATTTGGAACCATAAGCACATCTCCAATATGTACACAGAAGTATGAGTACATGTACACACATTACAAAATATGAATCACCCTTAAGAAGATTTGTACAGTTTTGTCAGTGCCAGGCAGTAATATCATAAAGCTCTCTTTAGGCATCACTCTCAAATGTTTTTGTTTTAATTAACAATGAAATATGTTAATAAATACATGTACCTGTTTGTCTTTATTGTCCATATATCTTCTCTCTCTCTGTTTCATTTACAGTTTGATGATACTGATTGATATTATTTGTATTTCGCTATAAACTTATAAAGGCATATTATTGTTTTTTGTAATTGGTAACACATAAAAAGCTTAACATGAGAGGAGAAAAATTAAAATGTTTCATAAATGCTGTGGTACACTTGGCTTTGAGCGCTCTTGATACTCGATTACAACAATACATATATTATTATCACATCATCAATATTATCAGACAAACAGTCTTCAGACCACCACAAAGAAGGTACAATTGTACATGATTTCAATTTTGTAATGCAAACTATTAAAGCTTTATAAATCGAAAGACAAAGTAGAGTGACAAAAGACGAGAGTCACATAGAGAAGGGACATTAAAGGTAGAGGGAAGAGAGAAAGTGAGAGATAGAGAGGAAGAAGTCACAGGACATGGAACTTGAATACATGTAGAAAGAGAAGGGACATTAAAGGTAGAGGGAAGAGAGAAAGTGAGAGATAGAGAGGAAGAAGTCACAGGACATGGAACTTGAATACATGTAGAAAGAGAAGGGACATTAAAGGTAGAGGGAAGAGAGAAAGTGAGAGATAGAGAGGGAGAAGTCACAGGACATGGAACTTTAATACATGTAGAAAGAGAAGGGACATTAAAGGTAGAGGGAAGAGAGAAAGTGAGAGATAGAGAGGAAGAAGTCACAGGAAATGGAACTTGAATACATGTAGAAAGAGAAGGGACATTAAAGGTAGAGGGAAGAGAGAAAGTGAGAGATAGAGAGGAAGAAGTCACAGGACATGGAACTTTAATACATGTAGAAAGAGAAGGGACATTAAAGGTAGAGGGAAGAGAGAAAGTGAGAGATAGAGAGGGAGAAGTCACAGGACATGGAACTTTAATACATGTAGAAAGAGAAGGGACATTAAAGGTAGAGGGAAGAGAGAAAGTAAGAGATAGAGAGGAAGAAGTCACAGGACATGGAACTTGAATACATGTAGAAAGAGAAGGGACATTAAAGGTAGAGGGAAGAGAGAAAGTAAGAGATAGAGAGGAAGAAGTCACAGGACATGGAACTTTAATACATGTAGAAAGAGAAGGGACATTAAAGGTAGAGGGAAGAGAGAAAGTGAGAGATAGAGAGGGAGAAGTCACAGGAAATGGAACTTCAATACATGTAGAAAGAGAAGGGACATTAAAGGTAGAGGGAAGAGAGAAAGTGAGAGATAGAGAGGAAGAAGTCACAGGACATGGAACTTGAATACATGTAGAAAGAGAAGGGACATTAAAGGTAGAGGGAAGAGAGAAAGTGAGAGATAGAGAGGGAGAAGTCACAGGACATGGAACTTTAATACATGTAGAAAGAGAAGGGACATTAAAGGTAGAGGGAAGAGAGAAAGTGAGAGATAGAGAGGGAGAAGTCACAGGACATGGAACTTGAATACATGTAGAAAGAGAAGGGACATTAAAGGTAGAGGGGAGAGAGAAAGTGAGAGATAGAGAGGGAGTAGTCACAGGACATGGAACTTGAATACATGTAGAAAGAGAAGGGACATTAAAGGTAGAGGGAAGAGAGAAAGTGAGAGATAGAGAGGGAGAAGTCACAGGACATGGAACTTTAATACATGTAGGGGAGAAAGCAAGAAAGCATGTAACATTTTCATCATGAAATTGCGTTTTCAATAGGAGGAAGAGCGAGCAAATAATTTCTTAGAGTATTTAGAATTAGGATTACTGAGATCTCTATCCTCTGAAGGAATTTATCCCCATAATCTTGGAAAATACAGAAACATGGAAACTTTATAGAGTGTTACATCTGGCAAATTCATGAAAGAATATTGACTTATAAGGTGTTTTAATCCTTGGTCTACGCAAGAAATGGACAGGTATATATGGCATAATGAGCAATTTTATGACAAAGTTAGCAGACAAATAAACAAGTCTGTTTACACAGTAATTATAATTCTTTCAGTATTGGAAAGAGAATTTCCTGATCATACGAAAAACAAAAACATGTGAAACATCCTTGAATAAATTTCAGGGTTTAATTTGTATGTGGTTTTTCTGGTGACGAAGCAAACATGCATTTAATATTACTGGTCTCTAGAGCAAGCAGAATAGTCAATTTCAGATCCTCTTGAATGTACTATTATAATTATGAATCCTGAAAGCTTTGAACAAGCTTTGACTGTGACAAGTCTCTTGAGAAAACGAGGCAGAGGTATTTGTTCAATGAACTTCTTCAAGTACAAGGTTATTCTCATGGTAAGAATCTATAAATAATACTTACAGGTTTGTAAGACCTTGTAAATACACGTATTTCAGAGAGTTAAGTTCCATGTACATTGCAATTGCACCAGAAAATAATAAGAGTCAAGATATCCCTGGAGGACATGGGTGTCACTTATGTCAGTTAATGTTGAATAATAATAATATTAATAATATTGGATATTTATATAGCGCACATATCCACCATTCATGGTGCTCTAGGCGTTACCCCGGCTCTGCTAGGCAGCCGATTTCGGCGCTCACAGCATTCAAAGAATTCCTTCCTACCGGTACCCATTTAACACCTGGGTGGAGAGTGGCAAATGTAGATTAATATCTTGCCAAAGTGCATTAGTGCCCGTGGCGGGAATCCAACCGCGGACCCTGTGATCCACAGTCAAAGATTTATCCACTAAACCACAACACCTCTACAATCAATGCGCTGGTTCAAATTTAATCAGTGGCACTCATTGACAGCCATATGATAAGTAGTTTGTGTTTTACATTTGCATGGCAATAATTGTTCAAAGGATGTTTGTTATTTAATTCTTTTTTTTCTAAGCAGTGACTATTTCTGTAAACTGCGAATTGTAATCTTGTGAGAGAAATTTTTGTAGATACTGAGGTCGTGTGTAAGGGAGCGTTCAATCAACATCTTTTCACCTTAGAAACATATTCTAAAGACGTTTAGTTTATAACACGGTTGCGTTCAAGCAATTTCAAGCGATTTTTCGTCGGTCATAACAATAAATATCTTTTAAAAACAGCGTTTTGTAATTCGACTTTGCAGAATGACATTATGGTCGCTACAGATCGCTAAAGATTGCTTGAACGCAACAGAGATCTCCACCTCGATTCATCAGTTTGATTGTTTGATTGTTTGATTCAAGTTCTTCTGTGCCTGGCAGTGACACGTATTTGCACCCTTTTGCACACATGATCTGCATTCTCAAAAATCTGTATTTACCAGAGACCTAAGTAAATGACGTTACCTTTGTATATCGATGCAATTATGCAAAGCCAAATACTTTTATGGTGAATGCACTTCAATACAAAAAGCTTGAGTGTACATGTAGGTAAATGTATATTGACCCACAATTCCGATGAACAAATATGGACATAATTGTAGAATCCACACAGCATAAGAACTTTATGATTAAATGTCGTGGGTTAAACTTAAAAATCTTTCATTTCTCAAAGGATAGTTTTGGTCTAAAAATT